AAATTAAAAAAAATCACGACGTTTCGGCCACAACACAAGTGGCCTTCACCTGATGAAGGCCACCTGATGAAGGCCACTTGTGTTGTGGCCGAAACGTCGTGAATTTTTGTTTTTTGTTTTATACTTTTACGTGACTTTACCGAATAGAACCAAAGAGTATGTCACCATTCTGTTGCTGCTTTTCTTGTTCAGCTTTAGCGTTGTTTTTATCATCATGTTTAAGGGGGGTTTTTTCACGTTGTTTTAAAGTCTATGATATATTTTAAATCCCTGAACTTTTGCATTGCCGTTTAAAACAATATCATGCACCTGTAGTGTATCCCAGATAGTAACCCCACAGCTGTCGCAGATTCCCAGAGTCGCTCTTGCAGTTTTAAAGATGAGTTCATCAGAACTACAACAAAACACGAATATGTAGAGTCTCCTTCTGGATTGAATACACCCTGTAGCAGTGTTCTTCACTAATTTTCTAGAGGGGGGAACCCTTTTCGTCGATAAGACATCATCAGTGTGAGGGCCGCCACACACATTTGACACCATTGTGGTTTGCCAACACGATGATGGGGGGTGGTAAAAACTAGATTCGAAGCTTTCGTGACTGCAGGAATTATTACTCTTTGGTTCTTTCGGTAAAGTCACGTAGAAAGACAATAAATTAAATAATAATAGAATACGACGTTTCGATTGCATTATATTTGCAAGTTTACTATGTTTGTTTTATCATTCATTCGTACCTGATGATGGTTGCTCGTGTTGCAATCGCAACGTCGTATTATATTATTATTTAATTTATTTTATTTCTACGTGACTTTACCGAAAGAACTAAAGAGTGATGGGGGGGTGGGGGGTGGTGTTTTCACTTTTTGTTTATTATCGGGGGCCGCACGCCAGGGGCCCCACTAAAGGCCAGCAGGGGCCACAGTGACCCGCGGGCCTTGCGATGAAGAACGCCGCCCTTTGGGGAGTCTCCACTCAGGCAAACTCAGTGCCCACACTCCGACCATCCAAAACCGGCTGGAGCCAATCTTAATTAAAAAAAATAAGTACAGTCTGGCATCTCAACCAATTGGCACATTGTCCAATTTAAATACCCGCGCAGCATGCCGTCTCGTGCCCGATCACAGAGCCTTCAACTGGAGTCAGGGCTGTCTTGTCTCCGAGCGGATTATATCAAATCCTGGAAGGAATTACCTGTGGGACCAGACACCTGGTGGTGCCTATGTACCGTCTGATGCCCCTACCGGCGGCCCGGTTCCACACCTCGCTGTGCCCTGCATTGTGCGGGAGGACACTCCACACCCACAGCACATCGGGAGAGGTTCGACATCACTTGAACTCACGCCGCAAAGCCCTTTTGTACTCACGCTGCAAGGCCCTTTTTTGTGCTAACGCTCTTAACCTTCAACAATGCGTGTTCAACACCCCAACCCCCCTCCGATGAAGCTTGGAGAGGTGAAGGGAGTGGAAAATAACTCACAACTGCCTCGTTGTTAAAGACCCAACGTAGAAGATCCCCAAGGGTTTGATCTTCTACGTTAGCGCATGGTCCCAACCCTAAATAGCATCCGCACAAACCAAGGCAGATGCGGATTACTGATGCGCACGTGGAAATAAAAAATCAACCTTTCCAGTGTGCGACTGTGGTCATCCAGAACAGACCGTGACAACCAAATAACGACGCAATTCCCGATCCACAAATGCGAAGGAGACATCACAGCGATGCACTCCTCTGCTCCTGACGCGGTTATCCGGCCTTGTCCACCCCAGCGTGAAATTTGTAGTCGTTAAATCTTGATTTGAAGCTTTCGTGACTGCAGGAATCCACACTCTCTGGTCCTTTCGGTAAAGTCACGTAGATAGATAGAAAGAAGAAAAAATAATAAAAGAACACGACGTTTCGGTCGCAACACAAGCGTCCGTCATCAGGTGAGAAAGAATCATCTGCTGCTGTGGCTTTTTCGGCTCTGGATCTACATCAGCAGTACGAGAATACGAAGCGGTGATTTAAGCGTCGGAGGGCAACACACGTGTATGGCTGTTGCCGCACATAACCACACAGTGCACATTAAACACAACTTACAAATAGTTTTTTTATTGTATCACACGTCACAGTATTTACAGGAGAACAATTGCATGTATACTTAATCTTATACGCGTTTGCAATGGTGGGTGTAATGTGTAGAGAGTTGTTCGCAATATATTACATCGGTTTGCATTGCTGTTAGTAGCTCGTCAAACCGTTGCGTCCCCTCAACTATCCTCGATAAAACAGAGTTTACCGACTCGACGTATAAACCAAAACGACCACAAACTTGGGCAACTGCACCGAGATTTCATGAAGAAACTAACAAACGCACGTTGACTATTATTCCGAGAGTCGGACAAAGTCATTCACAGCAACGCGTTCTCAAACTTTGGATTGGTAAAATAAAAGCATAAATATCAACAGCAGCAACCACGACCAAGCAAGCCGCTGATGGATGGAAAGCCTCCCCAAGTAATCACCGCCCCCTCAACCCCGTCCAGGAGACGCAACAATCCATCTAGCTTCTGCACACGATCCGAGTTCATTAATCCATTGTGATTGATGTATTGTTGGGCGCGTTCCCTCCTTTGCCTGCCGCTCGACCGCTGGCCATTATCCCATCCAACGTTGTCGCCTTGCCCAAGTCCACTTTCCTTAGCGAATATGTCAATACGGTGTCTTTAAGTTGCTGGTGTTAAAGCTATCGACGTAACCGCGCGTCGATTGACGTGCACGTTACCTGCTGTGACACGTGGATCAGAAATATTCCCTTTGACAAAGAATATGGAAGAAAAAAAAGCTGCAAAATGCGCCACAAAATCAATGCCTGCTGGTAATGTACCTTTAGAGACGAAGAGAGGAACACATGGGGCATAGAATACGAGCAAGTTAGATACATAATATTCCACGAGCCAGTTGGAATGTTGCATTGCAAGACTGAGTGGTGCAGATATGTATCATGGCAGTAGATATGATGATGATGATGATGATAGGCCGATACGAATTTTTTTTATATATAGTTGTGATGGATTATTGTTTTCTGGAGCGAAGAGCTGTAAAACGATCACTGGAAACAAATGTTGTCAAAATCTGATTTTGCTTTGTGTAATTATACCACTCGGGGGGGGGGGGAGGGGTGTTACAAGTCTGTATTCACCACAATGTGTTCAATATGGCAAGAGTTATTCATTTTACACGTGTTAAAAATAAAACAGAATGTTGCAATGCACATGAAGCCATATTTTACAATTTACTTTCTGGTGTTGGAAATAATCCACCAACTAATAACATTTTAAAACCTGGCAATATAACAATAAGGATGTATATTACATTTTTCTTATAAAACATAAGAAACCCAAAAAGAACTTCAAAAAACTGACTGCCAAGTTGATAATCATGCTATATAAGAAAACATTCAATAATATACTTAATCACGTGACATGGCAAATATATACTTAGCATACATGGCGACATCATACATTATCTAAAAACATTAACAATGAAAAACGTAATCCATAAATGAATATCTGTGTTTTCTATTTAACAATGGATAATTAAACACATTCCAAGAATTCACAATTATAGAGCAACTATATTGACCATACGTGGTATTCCGAGCCAGTTGTTTCTTTGAATAAAGCTACAGTATTTATGTGTATAAAGCCAAGTAAATGATACTAAACTCGAAGAAATATAAAAGCCTATAGGCTTTTTGGACGAAAACTTTGTAGGTTTAACAAACTTGAGCCTGCAGGAAGACGCGCGTACCTTTCCTTCTATACCAGGCATTTCATTACTTCAGCTCCTGAGATGGCTCAGTGGGCTGAAACCATGCTTCACAGTACAACAGAGCCACACCAGGGCCATGCTCAGCCAGCCACGTGTGGCTCAGGAGGCTCCAGGTATTTTCTTTGTCCACTGCAGAACCCAAGCCATTGCCACTGACTTCGCACGCAATAAACGATTTGAGTCGCTTGTAGATGCAAAATACGACTCAAATTATGAAAATGCTTAACCCAACCCCTAGCCCTGCTTTTGCCCCGAGCCAGTTTCAGATGTCTTGTGATGCAAGAGTTTCACGATTTGGTTCTGGCTTGGATTGGTAAGAGGCCAGTGGAAACCAGCCATGGTGTGAGGTCCCTTCGCTGGCATGGCCCAGATGTGTCAGTGGATAATGGTGTATGCCTAGCCCAAGAAGAAGCATTTGAAATTGGTTCTTAATATGCATTGATTGCAATCCACAGAATAAAACACGTAACAAAAATGACGATTCCCTATACTGTATAAATACACTTTCATTTGTAAGAGGATTTTTGAATGACGGAGGTAGTTGAAAGTAGTAGATATTCAAAAGTGATCATTAACGTGTTGCACGCAGTGCCGATTTAAATGCTGGGATGGTGCAATGATCGCCCTGTTAGCCAATGGGAGTGGCAATTTTGACTCCAGGAAAAGGGAAATAATTCCACTTATGATTTATATCAGTCAGAAAACAGCTATATATGAAACATTTGCTGGTATATGCCAACATTACAATCCTCCGCACATCTCATACCATGCTGCCAATTATTACATATCGAGCACCACGTCGCACATCCAACTCGTTAGGAGACTGACAAATTGGTGTATATGTGAAAAGTTCAGACATGTGAAGATATATAGGAAATTACAGTTACACCGAAGAAAATTACTATACAGGGCATCGGCAGTCAATTGGTCAAGGTGGATATGTGATGGTCGACTCTGTGACGTTAAAACTACAAATTATGCATTTTTGTGATTCCAGTAAAAAAAACGGAAATGGACATCGAATACTTGTATTTTACTTTCACAGAACTTTAACTTTCACAGAACATCATGGGACCTCCTTTGCCAGTACCAAAATATGAAACTATTTGGTCCACACCAGAGACAGCTTTCTGTGGTGTGGACCAATCAGTTTCAAAGACAATGCATATATTATCAGAGTATGTTTTTTGTTTGCATTCTGACCACAAGTATTGTGGTTAATGCAGACATGATTCCTTGTAAAAGGTTTCAGTGTGGTGTTTTAACATCTTAACACCTGTTTTGTTGCCAGAAAAAAGGGGAAAACCTTTTATCATATTTCACAGAACATGTCAGATTTAACAATATTTCACTCAGCTGTAAAAACAAAAATCATTTACGTTCGTGACACTTAAACATGCGGTTGGCGTGATGTTGATGTGCTCTTATCTTTGTAATATCGTTATATATCTATCGGGCGAATCATGATGGTGGTGGCACGCAAAGAGTAGCTTGAACCTTTCCAGTAATGCCACTTGATACCATTAAACCTACCCACGTTCTGCCCAGCAGAGTAGTACATCCCATTGAGGTTGGACGGCCCACAGGCATCAAACCACCAGCCTGTAGTAGGACAACAACAACAATGACATAAACAACAACATTATGGGGCGCCATGGTGCCAAGATGTTAACTCCCTCGCCTCGTATGCAGGAGGCCGTGGGTTTGATCCCGACCCTGACACCTGTTGTATATTTGGAGTCTGCATGTTCTCTCTCACCGTGGTCGGATGCATTTTTCTCCTGGTCCTCCCGTTTTTCCCTTCATACTTAGAAACATGCTGCTGTTATAAATTGACACGAAATAAGCCGCTTCGTTGAACTGTCCTTTCTGGCCAGGTCGCTTCTAAAGAGGAGACATATGGCTGCGTGTTTTTACCTGGTCAAATAAAAATTTGCAGTAAAATAAAAAAAATAGTTGTAAAAGCAGTAGTCGTAGTAATTGCGAGTTATAATGAAGTGTAAAGGTGCAGCGCCGCAAATCCTTGCTCAGCCCACTGCTTGCGGAAGGGCCTCTACTAGAGGCAGGCTGTAGAGAGCCCCACTAAGAGGGTACTTGGCCACACTTTTCAAGATATATGGCCTACACTTTACCCCACCACACATGACCTACCGATGGACTAACTGCAGTGTAACTATTTATACTACTTGGTGGATAGAGGCGGGCGGATTTAAGAAACTTGCACCTTTATTTGAACTCCTAAGCCATGAGATTGATCGAGCGACCTCTGGCTGTTACAAGTCCAGTGTGCTCAGCCATTAACATCACAGCAAAATCCTACATAAAGAATGAAACCGATCATTCCTGTCCTTGGCTATTATTTTGAAAGGGGAGTTTAAATAATGTGGCACATAGGAGACAGCCACCAGGGACCATTGGGACAGAGTAACAACTTGAATATAACACTTTCCCTGTTGGTGATAACAAGTATTAATTGCACCAAAGAGGGGAACACTTTATAGCAGTTTAGTTTCAGAGGACAGTCAATGTACAGTGAATTCCACTATCGCTGGCGGTTCTCAATGACTAGATGATGAAGCAGTTCAAAAAGCAAATAAAAAACAGCCCTGGGAGTGACTAAAAACAGCATCGTCTTCATGGACATATGGACATTCATTGCTTGATTATGTGTGTACATTGAAAATAAGACTCCTTCTTAAATTGCTGCAAACATATCTCGAATTTTTGTTTACATTTAAAACTAGAATTTAAATAGTTTTTACTCTATCCCTAACAATCAGTCTCCTTGTGTAAGATACAGTGGACATAATCCTCACAGAAATAAAATTATGTAATTTGTTCTATTTCACGTGTGCTTTACGTACAAATAAATACCATACATTTCTGAGAGAACAACGCAATGGTGGCTGTACAAATAAATCCTTCTAGTGGTCAGTTTTACTCAAATAATAATGACTTCCATGCTTCTGCACTTGTTTAATCAATCGGAAAAAATGTGTTACAGTGTAAAAATCTGTTCAACCCATCTCATTTTCATTACCTCCACGTGTCGATGCATTGTAATGTTGAGAGCAGTTTTTTTGCATTACTGCCAACATACTGTTCTGCTTAGTTTCCATAAAACATTGTGGAATCTTGGAAAGGTTGCTGGCAGTGTTGAGATAGCCATTGTCTGTACCCAAAGCAACTCTCTAAAATCTCCAGGGTGTTTTTTTTAGTTTGTTCTCGTAAAAAGGGCCCAGCCATGGGTCAATAAAGTTAGTTAGTTGATATCAATCAGTAAATACCATCTTGTTGAAAATCTAAATACTGCGTAATTAAAGGGGTTTTGGGCAATTTAGTTTGAAAAATAAGCATAACAAATTACAGATCATTATGTTTAAAAAATAGTTTCATGCTACGGTGAAAAGAGTTTTATATGTTCAAACCAGTTAATATGGAAATAAATATTATACAATGAATCCACTAAGTTGGAAATAATACAGAACTGGTGATGTTCTTTTTTCATAAAAATGTAATAACATGTATATAACCACACATTTCCTCCAATAAACTTCTTAAGTTTACGAGATAATTTTTATAGGGGTGAGTGGTCAATGCACACGTATCACTAAATCGCCCATAATGCTCCCAATAGCATCATATCTTGGAAGCTAAGCAGGGCTTTAGCCTGCATTGCCCTTTTCGACTTGGATGAGCAATACTCAGATGGGCGACCAACCCTGCATAAAACAGGTGCTTCTGGCTCCTTCAGGGGTTACGTTATCAGCAAAGGGCAGTGCAGCATAATCCATTGTTGTACAGTACTTCTATGCTCCAACATCTATGCACCATACCTTTACTAACCTTCACAAGACTGGCATGTTGTTGCATGGTTCAATAACCGCACAACTTATACAGTGTGGGGATGCCCTCAATCCAGCAGTGAATTTACGAAAGGGTTTTACATGTGCATGTGCATGAATGATCAAAGTAGCAAGGCACTAAGCCCACGCAAAATGAAATGCACTTCAAGTAATTTAAAGCAAATGCAAGGGAACAATCAATCATTAGTGAATGTTGTACCATTTAGAGAAAATTATGGTTTTGGACAGGGGCACAACCACCGTGGGTGTGCAGACACTGATCTTGTGCCTCTGGTTAATGTTAAGCATATCTTAAAGAGGGATTATTTTTGTTACATGTACCATGGCAAGTCTTTAATGACAGCATAAGCAAGGGACAAATAACATGCATCTGTATTACAACCAATAACCACTGGGAACCATTCGCTAGCAGGACAGCAACAACTTCCAGAGTGGTGGCTATTGCCGCTGGTTTATGGTCACACTCCAACTTGTCAGTTCCACATTGTTATCATAATCAGAATCTTTACTTAAACTGGACGAATCCAGTTAGCTGTGAAGCTCTTTTTCACACATGTCCAGTAGGGGAGGGTCAGAAAGTTACTACAACAAATAATACAAAAAGACGATAGGAGTGCAAAGTCTGGGAAAGGTAAGCAAATTTTTTTCAAAAAACATATTTTTATCTTACCCGGTAAATCCCACTGAGCTATTAGCTTCTTTTTCAGAAGTGACCTGGCCACAATGGGACAGCTCAACGAAGTGGCTTTTCACGTGGGAAATGTATCGCGGCCAAATAACCTAAATGAGTGCGTGAGGCTGCCCATCGCTCGTACCTCCTGTGCTCATCTGCGCACATTTACAGGGGCAGTTGTCGTTGTCCGCGTCCCTGGTGCTGAAGCTGCTGCTTCCCTGGCCGAGGCTGCTGTGCTTGCCTGCCGTGCCTCCGTATCCCCGAGTGTGCAGCCTGAAGCGGCGAGGAGACACCGGCGTTCACGTCAGCAGGCGCGTCGGACGAGGCCTCCGGCATTGACGCTTTCATTGCAAATGAGTGCATCATTGTTATTATTCAGCAATAGTAAACTAAACTAATTTTTTTTACTAAACTATTTTTTTTCATTATTTTACCAAGGCCCACTGAGCTATTATAGCTCATTTTCAGATGCGATCTGGCCACAAATGATAGCTCAACGAAGTGGCTTATCGCGTGGAAATGTAAAGCAGCAGCCACATATTCTAAACGCGGCCATGGGGAGCGAAAATATGCAAACTCCAAAGATACAGGCGTCAGGGTCGGAATCGAACCCACAACCTCCTGTACACCAGGCGAGGTAGTTAACATCTTGCCACAGTAGCGAGATCTTAAATAGAAACGCAACAGGGAGCTCAAAAAGCAGCTGTCCCACGCTACGCTCCGCAAGCGATGAACCTGGCCTGGCTATTGCTGAAACGTGCGTTTGGCTGCTATACATTTCCTGCTAAACATTTCCACATAAGCCACCTCCTTGAGTGATAGTTTGTGATAGCTAGGTCGCTTCTGAAAAAGAGCAGCATGGCTCAGTGGGCCTTACCTGGTAAAATAAAAACATAGTTTAGTTTTGTGTAGTGTTAGTGTATACGATATAATTGTCTTAATAATTCACAGCCCTTTGTCAATCCACTGGCGGATGAAGGCCTCCCCACGCCGCCTCGTGCTTTACCAAGCTTCACCACATTGTGTCAGTGTGGGTTGTTCAAGTGATCCATGACCGGTTTACATATACCTCGCCACTGATGTTAGCCATAGCTGGGAATCGAACTTAGGTTCTATGTATGTTGAACTTCTTTCGCATCATACGTAGCCAACCGTGCTAATTGAAGCTTGCTGTGATCAAAGCGCAGTGCAGTAAAAGCTCCATCCCAATATGTGTGTGTGTGTATTGTCTTATCTGGAGGCCAATTTGTTTGTCGGCAATTGAGCTGCAACTGAAGGAGATTCATCCTCCCAAACATCTCCTGCTGACACTGTCTTTCATTTGTAGGCAAGACGTAGTGGTGCGCTTTTAAAACGAAACTTTTAACACCATTAACACGTGCATTCCACATCCATTATCCACGTCTGCTCGCGCAGTTGCAGAACCGCTCAGTCAAAATGTACCCACGCACGCATCCCCATGTACCCGCAGCTAGAAGCACACAACAGCTCTGCAGCTGGAGAAGAGGCGAAACTAATAGGGGCAAGGAAAAAACGATGTTTAGCTCCCTGATCTGTCTTCTTGAGGTGTGTGTGCATGTGTTGTTCAGAATTGTGTCTGTTGTTTCGCTGATGAACTCAGTTCCTGAATTCGGTTTCTGGAGAAGCTCTCAAAACGTGAGCAAAACGTCGGACATCACGGCGATCAACATGCGGCACAACCCGAAAACACAACGGGGAGCCGTACAGAACAACCACGGAAGGGTATGCAGAAACAATATTTGTTACCTGTAATTTTGCTTCTCACTTGCAATGGAGAATCGTTCATATGTGGAAAATGCTGTGTTGCCCTCCCAGTCTTTCAATGTTATTCTCATCTGGTGCGTCTTTTGGCTGCACAGTTGATGGATTATTTCATTTCCCAACCAATGTTCACCTGTAGCCTCCCCAAATCCCTAGATACGTAGAGAAAAACAAATCAATCATATAATCCAGAAATACACTGCATGTGCATATACATGTATGTATGAACATGCATGTATTTCCCTACAACTATGGGAAACACATGCATTTCTATGGATGTAAAATATGCACAAATGAAACATAATGCATGTGTGATGTCAATTCATAAAAAAACAACGTCTAACCATGTGCATGTACTAACTGGTGATTGCCCTTTCTCGCATTGCATTGTATATCTATGTCATTTGAGGAATTAGCACAATAATGATGCAGTAAAGACATGAGCGAAGGGAATGAACAAAGTAATCGTAGTGAAACTCTAATTTATGAATACTAATGCATTCACCTGATACCACGAATGCGATCATCCACGTTAGTGTAATTGACACAGCAAGGGTGAGGTTAGCTTTTAAGATCACTGTGCAAATTTCGAATTCAGAAAAATCACAGTTTTAAACAGTCACCTGGTGGAAAAACAATTAACATTTTATTGGCTCCTATCATGGAACTGTGTCTTCTTTTTTTGCATCTTGCATGAAGACAATATACCGGAGCCGAGTCCCGACAACGCTTACGGTTGTGTAGTCTTGCCAGCTTCGGTGAAAATCCACGGACCCATCTTCTCTGCGCTGAATTACCGTCCAGCCACCGCCATCTGTTTCCATGTCACAGTAGACCTTGTGAAAAACAACGAATTGGAAAGCATGGAAGAGTTTAAATTAAGGACAGTAAATGAGTTATATTAAAAAAAAATGTAACAAAAAAGCGTCGTGTGTAAGCACCCATTTGTATGGGTGAGTGCCAACAATAAACCTGCTAACGACAGTGAACTAACAACATTTGAAAAATGCATTGCATAACAATTCCATTGTGTATATAGTCCTTGTGAAACTTGGCTTCCTAGCTCAATTGTTCTGATTGAAAACATCCCACTTCAGCCGTGAAGCTTGGTTTCTGTTTAGCAAACATGCCTGTTAGTTTTCCATATATAATACCCACACATGTGAAGAGCCACATTAACATAAACTGTTCGACTTTAAAATGTATCGCTGTTCGTTCTTCTTGATGATGAATTATGAAATGTAGTGTTTTATTGCTGTATGCACATGATGGCGTTTGATAGCTGCTCACATTTTTAATTGCTTTGCCATTTGTCAGTTGGTTTGTGTTTACGTTAATGGGATTATTTTATTTTAACATTTCTGCGTAGGGGGTTTGAGTGGGGAGAGGGTGAATGATTACGCAGAAGCCATTGGATCCCTTGAGGTACAATGCTCAGTACGGAAGAGTTCATGTTTTTGTAGCTTATTTTTGAAGGAAGCAATTAAATTATTTATTTTAATACAATAAAACAATATAAAAACCACAGACACTGGCAGACACCTAAGCAACGTGAGTAATAATCAATACAAAAAAATATGATCCGAAAACCTCATTTATCACTCATCAGCGAAAATTAACATGTGCACGTGGAAATGGCAAAAAGCAGTATCCTCACATTGCCGATTGATAAATCAATTACATATATCTTTAAGCGGAGATTTTGGAATATAACTTACTTTTGCCGGTACGGTGTCATTCGAAGGGTAAATAACGTACACTCCACTATTTGTATGTCCAGATTTTATGAATTCCCCGCAATCCCGAAATATATTTTTTTCTTCCTTGTCACGGAATGGGAAACGCGCTGTTGGGAAAGAAACACGTTCAATTAAGCATGTGAATGTAAGCCACCTGCCACGATTAATTATACATAACTCGAATAATCACTTTTGCGGTTTGGATCAGCAAAATTGTATGAAATGTAATACTGCAACGTATGCTGCAATCTAATTCATTAAGACAACAAGAGCGCTTGACCACGACTATTAGAAAGAAGGGAATTGTAGGGAATTGTAGTACATTAATAATTAATCCTCTGCGAAGCTCCTCCAGAGGGCATATTTGGCCTACTCTTCCACACTGGTCCAACATATTGAAAGAGGTGGGAGTGCCGACGCTTTACCCTACCACACGTGACTTGCCGATCGACGAACTGCAGGGGGATTCATTAAAACCTTCTTTGGTTCTTTCGGTAAAGTCACGTAGAATGAGAATAAAATAATAAATTGATAAAATAAAATAACAATAATATTCTCATTAAAGTTTGCCCCATCGTTTCAACTGCTATACGGGGATATATAAGCACTGACCCCTGGATTACAAGTCCAGCATTCTCACCATTACACCATAGCAGCATCTTGGGTGAACACATCCTCGATTAGCACACTGCCTTGCCTGGTATACGGGAGGAATACAGGAGCTGCATGTAGTTAAAATAGTTAATTAGTTCGTAAAAACTATAAACTATTTTCATTTTACCAGGTAAGGCCCACTGAGCTATATAGCTCTTTTTCAGACGCGACCTGGCCACAAATGATAGCTCAACAAAGTGGCTTATCACGTGGAAATGTGTAGGTCTGAACGCACGTCGATTCTAAATGTGGAGGGGAAAACCGGAGGACCCGGAGAAAAATCCACACGACCACGGGGAAAGAGAGAGAAAGAGACATGTAACTCCAAATATATAGGCTTCAGGGTCAGGATCGAACCTACAACCTCCTGCATACCAGGCGAGGGAGATAACATCTCGCTACCGCAGCGCCCCTTAACGTTGTTATTAAGGTCGTTGTTGTTGTTGTCCTACTACAGCCTGGTGGTTTAATGCCTGTGGGGCGTCCAACCTCAGTGGGATGTACGTGGCCCTCACCGTCGTCCTGTGTGAGGCGTGCGAGCGTCTCTTGCAGGGCGCTGGCCAGCTGCGCGTGCTGCCGCAGCAGTCGGCCGTGCCCGGCGCCCGTCTCGTCCAGCCGGCGCGCCAGCTCCGCCAGGCGGGCGCCCTGCCCCGAGAGGAGCTCCTGCACGCGGCGCCGCTCCTGGTGCGCGCCGGCCAGCCGGCCCTCCTGTTCTGCGAGCCTACGCTCCAGCAATCTGCAGAGCGATGTTGTCGGGGGTGGACTAATTTTAATTGTTGTTGGGTTTTTTATGGTTGATTGCAGAATACGCTGGTCCACATCACTGGCACACAACTGGCCGGGTGGCTCAGAAGGCCAGATACGTTAATCTGGCATCGCTGGGATCCTAGGTTCGTTTGCGATTAACCCGGGTTCTCCAGTGTTGCGAGTTGATTGTCTCAGCATTGCTCATCATTGATTGCACATGAAAAAATAAACATTACATTAATGATCGTTTTTCACTTATTGTGGATAAATTCCAGCTGTGAGAATTAAATATTGTGTTGACTGTCATGCTGACGAACATTGATCTCAATGAGAAAGTGCTGCCCCCTACTGTGTGGGTCAAAGGTCACTTGACGGAATCTCAGAGGTAGCTCAATGTTGTCCATTTCTGTGGGTCGTTCTCAGTGAGAGATCCAAGTGGATATTTCACGTCATAACATGACGCCAATATTATAATCGGGATGAGATTGGATAAAAAAAAAATATATACTAAGATGAAGCTATGGTTAGTGGTCGAAATATAGATTTTTCAGCACAATAAGTGACACAAATGAAAAATGAACAACTTATTGCGAGTCCAGCATGATAGCCTGTGTGCCACAGTACAGTTCTCAGAGTAAAGAGGCAGACAAATATCTCCCATAGAGCCTTAACAGACTTTTTGGGGCAAGTGCTGTTAGCGAGCAACTATGAAGGCTGGCATGGCACACAAGGGGGTGGGTGGGTGGCCAGCACCACGCCAAACCGTCTTTGTCTCTCCTGAGCAACGATGTTTACACATCGTACTAGGTACTTATTTAAGGCTGAGTCGACCTAGGTGAGGCCCAGGAGCGGTTCAGATAATCATCACTGGCGTTGGCTGCGAGCGGGCATCAAACTCATCCGAGAGGTTCTACCACTACCCTAAAGAGGGAGAACATCCTTACACACACGTACACATTTTTCTCCTGGATCCTGCTGATGTCCTGTGCCTGTTGAAGAAGTTGTTTCTCCAGTTTGCTGGTCGAAAGGGAGTTTTCCAGCAGCTGAATCTCCAGCCTTGAAGTATGATTTAGGACCTTGAAGTGAAGAGAAACAGCAGACATTATATGTAACGCTGCTACTCCAATACCAATAACTACAGATGCCTGAGTAAATAAAATGTTCCTAAATAAACAACGAACGGAACTTCTCAACCGTGAATTCATATAATGACTGTAATTGGAAGTTGTCCATCTGTAAACAAATGATTTGTCTTCAACATTCAAATGGAAATTAAAATACGTGATGCAGTAAATTGTAATTTATTGTATCAGACTCCCTGCCATCTTTATAAATATCCCAATGATAAAACACCTGCTTATGAATCTATTTATTTGACAAGCAAACATTAGCACGGATCATTTTTAATAATTATGTGGGCTGTACTTTTTCATTATAAAATATATAATGCAACATAACCAGACACATCTTTCTTAAGATATTTTTTCATGTATTTGTGTTACTTTGGTACCGATTTCATTTCCCTTAACTGTATTCATTTTTCGTTTTATACCTGTATGTTTAAGCATTACATAAAAAGGAAAATATAAACAAAACACCACACCATCATGACCATGAACAACAGTCGCAGCGGTAACAGCATCAGCAGCACATATCAGGAGCATCAGCATCCTCAGTGAACGTTGATGCCAGAAAACAAATAGCATGCCTACCAGACTGAGCCAACATCCACCTGCCTAACAAATGGTGTCAGAATACAGCGGATACACTGAATCATCACCAAGATACAGTAAATACCACACTTGAAATCGTGCAAGAGGTGCATGGATTATATGAAATGCACCTCACCTAACAAGTACTGCAAATCCCCATGGAGAGAACTGCAAACTCTATCCATCTGGGAACATCACCAGCTCATTGTTGCATAAGGAATGGGATCGGCTCTACCACCAGCTGCAACTCCCACATCATCACTAGGCTGAATCAGAATATGTATTTATACTGGAGGCATCCGATGAGCTATACGGCTTCTTGTTCACAGATGTCAAGTAGGCATGAGCGGCCACCTGGCTTTGAGCTCCCATCACCTCTGGAGCAACCTTAACAGGCTTCAGGTGTGAGGTTTCTCCATTGCGTCGAGACCGACAAAGCCTGCTTTATTCAGGACACCCCACGGGGCCACGATGGTGTTGTGGAGGAGGGAGAGGATGCACACATGCTGAATGGCTGCTCTGTCCATGTCAGACTCCCCAGAGGTCGTCGAAAGCTGATTACAGCTGACTCCGAGGTCCATGACTGCCTTAGAACCAATTAACTATTTGTTTGGTGTGTGTGTGTGCGCGCACACTCTAAACCTTGTCTTGCAAGGTGGCCGGGTGGCTCAGAGGTCAGAGCGCTGGACTGGCAATGCTGGAGCCATAGGTTCAAATCCAGGCTGCCGCCCTTGATGAAAACATATTCTCTAGTGCAATGAGTTGGTGGTCTCAACCTGGTCACCATTGACAGCTCAAGAAAGACATCATATTCAATTTGGTTCTGGATTTAATTTGGATAAATTTGAGAATTTTCAAATAAATGTTTGACTGTCATGCAACAAACATTACTCTGAGCGGGCGGTAATGTGACCAGGTGATCTTTGTGATGACCAACTTCTCCACACTGTTCTCTAATATGCAGGGTTGCACTACTGTGTGAGAGAATTTAATGGATTCTTCATTGCATGGCGTCCTTGCCTTCCTCTCGCAGGTAATCTCTCTGTCGTTGTCAGCGGCGTTGGTGACCGTAGGACATCCTGCCGATGGTATCATAACCTGTGCGTGCAACTGTGGTTCTCAAAAGCAATATGTGAGTGTCATCAAAATAATCTACCAAAACTATAATAAAATTTTAATTTAAAGCTTTCGTGACTGCAGGGATTCATATTCTTGGTTCTTTCGGTAAAGTCACGTAGAAGGGAAACAATAAAATAATAAAAATATAAAACAATAAAAGTCTCACGACTTTTCTACTGCAACACAAGCAATCATCGTCAGGTGTGAAAACCACAAAAAAGTGTTTTTTTTGTAACGTTAGCACCACGGAGAGCGATTTGGCAGTTATTCAGATGGATGAGTCCATCTATGTTCGGAAAAGAGGAGGGGGGAGACGAAAATAATGGATGCGGTCTGAAATCCACCGTAAGCGTGAACAATCAATTAAGACCCGAAATGGTTTATCAAATCCTTCCAATAATTGCTAAGCCAGAATCCATCTTCTCGGTTGAAATTGTCTCTGTGTTTGTATATGTGGATAGCCTCATAAACGAATCTCTCATGGTAGCCAGATAGCTTGCAAAGAACCTCTGTCTTGGAGAAGTCAATGTCATGTGAGCCTACTGAATTATAACAGTGATCTGCCACGGCCGAGGTGTTGGTCCTACCGTGTTTTAGGTCTGCTTTGTGTTCACGAATGCGGTCCAAGACATGTCGTTTGGTTTCTCCAATGTAACTACTACCACAGAGGCAACTTAGTTTGTAGGCGCCAGGGTACTGTATGTCCGGAATCACATCTTTTACAGACGGAACCAGATCACGGATTTTATGTAATGTGTTGAATCGGACCTGGATCTTGTGTTTATTCAAGATTTTGGAGATCTTTTTTGTGATCCCCGCAATGTAGGGTAAAGTGATGGTTTTGAAAGGCTCCTCAAGAGGGTCCTTCTTCATGGTTGGAGTGATAGCTTTGCGGATTGTGTAATCGGAGTAACCATTAGCCTTAAGAGCTTGGTTTATGTGCTTGAGTTCACTGGCTATGTGTTCCTGGTCGGATATGCATTGGCCTCTATGGTGCAGAGTCTTGAAGAGGGAATTCTTCTGGGATAGATGGTGATGGTAATCCGGTTGTAGGTAAGTATCCGTATGGGTAGCTTTTCTGTAGATAGAGTGGCTCATTGAACCATCAGGTCTCTTCTTTATTAGGACATCCAAAATAACTGCCAAATCGCTCTCCGTGGTGCTAACGTTAAAATAACCGCCACGTTTTTCAAATTTTCTTGCTGTGGTTTTCACACCTGATGATGATTGCTTGTATTGCAGTCGAAACGTCGTGAGAATTTTATTGTTTTATATTTGTATTATTTTATTGTTTCCCTTCTACGTGACTTTACCGAAAGAACCAAAACTATAATTGCTAGGATTGTTTGATCGGTATGCAAAGCACATGGTTCCCAATGTGAACGATTACACACCCGCACGCACGAATTTTGGTTTTCACACGCACGCGTGCAAGTCTCGGATTACACACTCACACGCACGGCTCTTGGTTTTCACACTCGCACGTACGAGTCGTAGTTTACGTGTCGACACGTGCTATACCTGTGCCTCGATGGTGGCGAGCCTGTACGTCTGCCCGGCGGTGTGCAGCAGCAGGTTGCTGCTTGCCTCCAGCATGGCGGTCGTGTGGTTGTGCATTGAGCGATGCTGCAGCTGAGCCAGCTCCAGCATCACACCTTCCCGAATGGAGTTCTGCAGCTGCGGACAGGGACACCAGAAGACAGGACACCGGGAGGCACTTGACGATTTAGAATCGCCCGCCACAGCGACGCTAATGAATCGTCACGAATCGTCGTCGTAATTTTAATTTGAGAATTATTCCTTGTTTTTTTTTTGTCTCATTTACAGAAGAAAATGAAAACAATATATTAAAACGTAAAAAGTGACCAAAGAAGCATGGACAAGAACACACAGAGGTTAAAGACAACATTAAAGCCGTTAAGGAAAGTGGACTTGGGAAGGATGCGTCAAGAACAGTGACGGAGTGGCAGCCAAGGAAGTCAACGTGCCAGAGACAACATTCACCGAAGAGATGGTGGAAGGCAATGAGCTCGCGAGTAGGTGCTAGGGTGCATCGGATCATGGCTAGTGATGATGATGCAGATAGCGCATCACTTGAAATGTATATTTTTTCATTTATGTGTTGTTTTGCTCATTTTTTTCCTCTATTAAACTTAACGACTCCGCGAATGTACATTGAGCATTCACGTAACCTTTAATCCGTGAATAAACGCATCAATACATATTCATTTGTATAGCAGATTAAAGATAATGTACGGGGTTGGCCAACACTCGGGCTATAAAAAAAAACATACAGGTGATTTCATTCTAATATCAACAAAGCAATGTGCTCGAGGCAATATCATGTTAAAATATTTTTAAAAAGCTTATATTACAATTAAGAACCCAGTGAACTCAACACCAGCATGGAAAAATAAACACGAAGCAATTGTTTATTGTTTATTAACTTCCAGCTAACGCTTGCTCCTTCTCGTCGTCCGCTGCCCTTGATGTGAGGAGATCCTCTCTCCATGGTCCAACAGAAGGCTGCTGTTCAAGTCCACGATCAAGCCTCCTCCTCTTCTTCTATGCTTGTGACTGATATATTTTTTTGGACCGTTAAACACCGATCTCATTTTCATTTGCAGTGCATCCCAAACCCACTGAGCCTAATTGCACCTTTTGCCAGATGGACGTAATTCTACTTACGACCGCTACACTACTCTTAAAAAATGAATGAATGTTATGTACATTTTATAATAACTAATGTTATAGTATATGTTTCCCTAGTAGCTACAAATGTACTTCCGATAATGCGCAATAATTAACATTGCAATTCACCTTGGAAATAACATTTAACACCAGATAAGCGAAATTAAAATGACGTGCGCTCTCGTGTTACTTCGAACTATTGAAAAATTCATGTATGCAATCTCCACAGGCGGTTTTATTTCTCCTTTCGAGACCTGTACGTGTCAGTGAATAAACATCTGCGCATTTCCAAGGGAAGAACAAATGACACTTCGCACAAATTAGACAGGCACAGTGGATCATTTTCTGTAATTCAGTCCGGGGGCACGTAATGGCGATCGCATGCGCTATGAGACGCATTACAACGCTGAGGAATGTGGCCGAATCCCCACAGAGCTCGAGAATTAGGGTCTAAAGATGTAGATTGGACAGATTTAGTGGCAATGGCCGAGCCACCCCTTCGCAGCAACGGCACCTCAGGACACATACGTTACACACGCTGGTTCTGACATTCCTAAATTACAACTGTCATTACCAATGTTTTTTTTGCATGTAAAGATGGCAAACATCGCACAGCGCCTGCTGTTTACAAAGCAGTTCATCAAAAATTATATATATTTTTTCTCCTTTCTCTTCTCTCTCTTCTCTCTCTCTCTCTTTCACCCTTCTCTGTTTGTTTTGTAATGTGTTTTTTTTCCGCGAAAAATATGTCAAACAGTAAATAAACCTAAGTGAAATAACAACCTTTATAAAACACTAACAGATGCTGAAGGTATAGGCGAATTTGTACGAAACACAGATTTCTTTCACATCCACAGCGCACAAACCTCAGCTTTGGCCACACAGCGTTCCATTTGAACGCGTTTATTTTATTTGCATTTACCTACCTTCTACGTCTGCTTGTGGAAGCACTCCCCAAGTCCGGTCCACGTGAACCATTAAAGTTTCAGCTTTCCAAAGCAGCTCAATGTCCCATATTCTCGCGGTGGCAAGATGTTAACTACCACGCCTGGTATACAGGAGGTTTGTGGGTTCGATCCCGACCCTGATGCCTGTATATTTGGAGTTTGCATGTCTCTCTTCCCGTGGTCGTGTAGATTTTTTATCCGGGTCCTCCAGTTTTTCCCTCCAAATTTAGAAATATGCGTTTAGAGTATTTGGCTGCTTTAAATTTCCACATGGTAAGCCACTTCGTTGAGCTATCATTTGTGGCCAGGTCGTTTCTGAAAAAGAGCTATGTAGCTCAGTGGACCTTAACTGGGAAAATAACAAATATATTTTAATCGTTTAATCGTTCATTTTTTTTGTACAAGTGAAATAAGAGGAAAATTACATTTATTGTTACTTTACACTTTTTTCTATAGATTGTAATCATCTGAGTTGCAGCTGTAACATCTAAATCGATTATCTGAAAATTAATTATTCCAAAAGATATTATACAGTATGTAATACATGTCGACTATTCTACTGGAACTTTGAGTGGCAGATTTGATGGCAGAAAGGTGTCACGTGGGTAAACAAAAATAAAGTTGACTTCACTTGACAGGAAATGGCCGACTCTTTAAAATGTTTTATTGTATTAATGCTTTGCAACGAAGGTGTAATGCGTTTATGCCTTGGCTCTATCCATCTGTCTCTCTGCCTGTCCATTTGTCTCTCGAAACGGGGTCGCCATCCCCCTCGTAAACATGATCCAATCTGAGCAAATCTTTATTATATAGTTGTGTTTCTATTAATAGCTTAAGCTATTGAAAAATGGACCATTTGATAAAAGGGTTGCCCTGAAATTGGAGATAAAAACCAGAGCAACAAAAAATACTGTTTGTAAATATGAAAATCTGTTTACCCTAACGATCAACCCATCGGCTTGCATAGGGCTAATTAAATGCATCTAAAAACAAACGCATGTTGGAAAGCATTACCTAGTCCGTGCGTATGCATGATTTTTTTCTCCAAATCTTTTTATTAAACATATACATTTGAAAAGCATGGCATTCAACTAATACTTTTTCTCAAAGTTACCTACCGCCACAGTCCAAGAATAAACTCTTCAAATGCAAGAGTAATTGGCACGTATGAGTTTCACGGATGACCAAGAACAACATGTGCTTTACATGAATGGTATGAACTTGTTTAGAATTTAGTCCCCAAAGGCAAGATGAAAGGCTCGTCAGCCCAGAGTCACGATTGCTTCCGTCACTGCGAAGGCATCGAGACTTCTACGAATTTACCGGGCTCTTATCTTCCTTGGAGAGATACCGTCTGGAAATCCTCGATCTCACCACTTCTCTCCTTCTCTTTTGAATCTTTGTGCAACTCAACCTACCAGAGTTGACAGAGGCCTCACGCTCTCGATACTATAGCAGCAGCCTTATCTCTGGCCGGCAATCTGCCAGCACAACTATCAAAGGATGGAGAAGAAGAAGCTGACTGACCACTGTTCGCATCAGTAGCCAGGATTGATGACTGCTGCTAAGTGACATTTTCTCCACAGATCGAAAACATATTCGAAAGCTACCGGGTATTTAAAATACCGTTGAGGACTTACGTACGTGATAACCATCAAATGGGACTTCATGCAACTGTTCATGTGAAATGTTTTCATTAAATAAAATATTAAGGGATTCCCGGCAGTGGTAGGTAAACATAACATGTCATCACACTCGTCATTCACAGGGCCCAGTAGTGCGAGTGTGATTTCCAACTCTTACTGTATAATGTCAGTCTCACTCTCTCTGTTGTGATGAAGGCCCCTTGCCTGAAACATCGGCCGATTATATTCAAGATGATGCATTTAAAGATGCCCCAATTAAATAATAGAGATACATTATTGAGAAAACAACACGTTATTCCAAGGTTACTACATGCCTCCCACCATATCTCAATACACGTATTATATCTTCTCACACTCTCCCCTGAGATATATGGGGCCATCGCTTTCACAATATTAAGTCAGCTGTTAAAGTAAGAGAGACATTTTATATTCGTGGGATGTCTATACATGGATTGCCCTATAATACTCTGTTCAAAAACAGTATCGATAACATGCGTTGATTATTTTAAAATATATTTTTACTCGTTATTATATGACGCAGGTGCAAAGTGTGAGTGCGTAACATTGATTGTATGACCATTAATTGCCCACTAATTTCTTAGACACCGCCGTTCTCAAACCCTCCACCACACACGGTGCACAATCCGAGGCATGCGGGTGGTCAATGCCCACGACCCATTTGAACAGAGGGCACCCGCCCAATCTACAAAGGTAGAAACTGCCATCAAACGACGCAAAAATCCAGCACCTCGAGATGTTGAGCTTTGCCTTATGGGAGCAAACAACGGGACCGGTAGAGTGGACAACGTAGCTATCAATTATGAGCACTTGTGATCACGCACGGGCCTTTAAACATGAGAATGTGCGCTGCTGCAGAAGGACAATCTCTCACACCGTGCATTACTGGTGTCGCATTACAGCGGCTCTCTGCGAGCCCTACAAACGGCCAGCAGTCACAAGTCATATCCAATCAGCTGCACGCTATGTTCAGAGATCCCACCTGGTTAAATGCAATTGCTGACATTGACTATGTTATAATAAGCATTTTTTTAAATGACTCAAGGAAGTGAACGATAACAACAATTTAACAAAAAAAAAATGTACAGCCCTTTATCAATCCACTGCTGGATGAAGGATTCTTGCACGTCATGCCGGTCACGGGGATTGTTTTGCCCAAACTTCACCGTGCTTGCCAGCGACCACTGCAAAAGGGGACCAGGAGTGGTTCCGTTGCTGTGGATATTCGCGGTGGTGCCAAACTTGAGTACGGCTATTTTAGAGTACACAATCGACAGAACAATGAGCTTTCATAACGCGCATGCATAGTGTACGTTGATTACCATATCAATAACTCAAACGGCAATAGATACCCATAGTCATTTATAGGCATTCATTAATCCCCCCCCCATCCACTTCGCGCAAGAAGAGCACGCAAGGGACGTCAGAATATCTACGCCTCTATGTAAGGAACGAAACAGGTGGGCTTCTCCACAGATCTGGCTGTCGCCTGATGAAGCTAATTGTAATTACCGGCGAAACGTCGTACTCAGATTGTAAATGTTGCGGCTTGGCTCTCCAACACACCGGTGTGCTGTACTAGTGACGAACTGGCACGTTCTGTTTACGTGACAAACCTTACTAGTTGGCCGTGTTGGGTGGTGGCGGGTTTTAACGACACATTTGTATGTTTACGAGATCTAACCCAAAAAAAACTGTATTGTGGACAAACTTAAGTTACCGTGTTCATAGTGCAATGTGCTAACCACTGCACCGCTGCTCCCCCTCACTACAGGGGATATTATCCGTATATATTTCTGAGTCTTTACTCAGTGCACCTCCTGTGAATTGTGAACTTGCAGTGAGCGAAGCTTAATGAACAAACAAACGTGAACCACACCATGCAAACCTCTGATATGTTTTAAGCAATCTTCCAAACAGAGGCCACTCGTTGCAATGCCGAGCGCATAATCTTCCTGCGTTTTGCTCGGAAGAACGCTTGCCGAATATTATGACGTTTAGCACTTAACCGCTAACCGTGAGGTGACATTAAGCCAATTAGCAATTCTAGCGGCCATCCTCTTACCCTGTTTGTGGACGGGTTCCACGTTTACCGTGCGATTTCGGCTCTCTCTGATCCCACGTTTCAATGTCAAGCAGGGTGACTGCTAGCACGGGAATTGTAAGAACTCCCATCTTGATGCATGTTGGCAGGCACGGTACCAAAACAAAACGCCATACTCTGGTTCTGTGAATTCTTTGAGGAACCCACACAAATGCAGGCGTGGATATCTGTTACACAATCACTCAAATTCTTTTCTCCTCCGGTGACTTGAAAACAAACAAAGCTGTGGGTCAGCGGTACCTTTCTTTTTGGGGAAAAATTGTTTAAAACATTCGAAACCGAATTCTGCAGTGGTGTTTTTTTCTCCCTTTTAACACATATTTTTTAAAATGTGACCATTCATAAAATTCCTTCAACGAAAAATGTTACATCGTTCCAAGCAAAACCCATGCTGTACTCTGGTACAAAATATTATCGACCAGTATTTTTATATCCCGAATGGCTGTAATAATAGATTAAATACAGTGTCATTAATCACTGTATAAATAATCGTTTAAATAAATAATTCTAGCTTAAATTTATCGTAAAACATGTGTGCCCATTTATTTAAATATGTTAATAAATACATAAATGAGTGAGAATGGGCACAATTACTTTCCTTAACGATTTAAATTGGTATCACAAAAATCTTTAGACATGAAACGTGTTGATAGAGGCCCACGTGTGATTATTTGAAATCGCTCTTTAAAAAAAAGACGACAAATTATGCTAATTACTGCTTGTTTTTTTTATGAGACAGGGGATAAGCAACTTCAAACATGACTCAGCCCCCAATTGGTTTATTCTGCCAGTAGCAACAACCAAGACATTCCACCAACATCGCTCACCGGCCAGCTGTTTGAACAGTGCGAGAGGGTCCCTACAACAGCAACTGGAATACCTAGAACAATTCTACGGAAAGATAGCGGCTTTGCAAGAATTACAGATTGTAACCGATTAGGCACGCTTTAAACATCAAAGCGCAACACTTCAAGTCGAGTTCCTCAATGATGCGAAAAAACAATTACCCCATTAACTTCCTAATGCATTTCACCTGTTGGTGCAGAGTTTGTGTTTTCTGTTTGTTGTCACACACCTCACACTGTGATATAATGATGGCGATTTTAAAGAAAACAAATTGGTCGCAAGGACATTAATCACATCTGGGGTTAAATGTAGCATTTCTCACAATTCATTTCCCTTTATGTAGCATCTATAAATACCTGGTGCTACTCCATATTTCAATAGTATTTTTTTTTACTTTGTTAAAATTATTAAAGCGAAGGGATTCCAAAGTGTAACTAGTTATAACGGTTATTTTATAACGGTTATTTGCGTGGTCATTAATTTGGGCCCGATTTGAATTCAAGAATTATATACTTAATGTTTGGAACTTCTCTTTGAAGATAAAAGTGACCACATGTTTGCATCAAAATGCTGCAATAATTATTCTAAATTGAAAACAAGACCCATATTTAATTTAAAAACAACTACATTTAAATAGGGGCAAGATTGCATAATTTTATTGGCTAACCTGGGGAAATGTCAGTGAACATTAAACACAGTTCTAGCCCAGTATAAATAGCACTAAACACGATCTCGGGCGAGTATCATTTCGTATAATCATTGACATTTCATTTGCTGCTCTGTCATAATATACAACCAGATTTCTAACTGCTACAAAACCAATTTCTCTATCCACACGTAGTACAACACTCGTTCTTGTGCACTTACACTGCAGACGCATACCATCACACCCATCTATTACCTCTATTTATTTTCTGTAACTTCTACTAAAATACACACATGCGCATACAAACACACCCACGCAAAGGTCCACATGCATGCATTGCCTATATTGACATGATATTGGGCCACCATTGCAACGTATATTTCATGATGCGTGTGCTTTTATTGTATCAAGTATGAAAATGCCCGTGTAGAAAGGATGAAGGTTATGTTACATCACAACACAAGTGCATCGTTTACTAATTACGGCACTAAATTTGTGGCGCGCACATTTCTGCATCTAACATGCATATTTGCACGGTCATGCTGGCCTCTGGCATTTGTTATCGTCATTCCTATTATTGTGTTTTCACAAACTGGACTGTATTAACAGATTGTTACAACAAAATATTAGTTGCAATAACTGTCCACCAATCAAATTGTACGAATCTCCCTGATGACATTTACATTTGAGCTCTGTATTTACCTTAACAAAATTGACTGTTGCTAGTATTCTTGAAATATAAACGTTTCAATGAATGAACAAAAGGTACTCGAGTGATTATCATCCTCCAATGTTTTAATTCTAAAACTCCTACGATTGTGCATTTGGATTAGTCATGATTGATTGATATATCAGTACTGTAATCGAAATCGACCTCCAACATATGCTCAACATCCACCCCCGCAATAGTTAAATTTTGATTTAAAGCTTTCGTGACTGCAGGGATTCATATTCTTGGTTCTTTCGGTAAAGTCACGTAGAAGGAAAATATATTTATTGTTTTATATTTTTATTACTTTATTGTTTCCCTTCTACGTTACTTTACCGAAAGAACCAAGAATAGCAGTTAAATCGTTTAGTACAAACTATAAACGGATGAAGAGTAAATTAAAACCATACCCACCCTATGGGCATGAAAGCACCATTTCTGCAATGTGCAACATAATCCCATGTGTGATTTCACAACAACGCACACTCATTAATATTAATAACAAATGAGTTACTCAACTCATAAACAATGTTTTTTTTTGGCAAAATCCCAACTCTGCATTGCACTTACATTGAAATTAAAAAAAAGTTTTATCTGGAGTTGACAGTGACTCAATAGCATAAATAACAATTCACCACTTTTGTTCACAGCGCTGGCTTAATCGGAACACACAGAAAAATAAGTGACGATTTGGGCAACAGCCCTTCTTCACGGCGGCAAGATTCAATCGATGCGTTTGGCTACATTAAAGTGGGTGAGTGACGAGTCAATCACATACACACACCTTCAAGAGCCACTGCGTGTTGTTCTCCATCGCCACCTCGAGCTGCTGCAGCCTTTGCTGAGAGCGGTCGGCTTCAGCGTTCGGCGCGTCTCGCTGCAGCGAGTTGGTGACCAGGCTCTCGGCGCCGCTTGGGCAGCCCTGCTGCGGCTGCTGCGGCTGCTGCTGCTGCTGGTGCTCGGCCAGCTCCGGCAGCAGGAAGGTGTAGGTGCAGGGCCCGTGCTGGATCTTGCGGTGGGCCCTCCCGGCCGTGTCACCGCCCACCGCCACCGCTGCCGCAGCCGCCACTGCAACCCGGTGGCCCAGCCAGTAGCCGGCGATCACGGCTCCCGGGCGCAGAGCGCAGCACAGCAGCACGAGCGCGTCCATCACCCTCGTGGCGAGCATCCTGCCGGGGACAGCCGTTCCAGAGCTGTCAGCCTGTTCGCGTAATACGTGCCCGAACCGATCGCAGCCCCACAGCTCGGTGCTATATATGCATAGCAGCTGCTTTTACCAATGAAGGGCAAGCATATGCATTTCCTCCATGAGCTACGAACTCTGAAAACGATTCCACTCTCAAGATTAATCTACGACTGACAGCACTTGCACCCAGACTTGCCGAGATGCGTCCATCCCATTCAATGCTCCGCACGATCTCTGGTGTCACAAATTTTTGAGCGGAGCGATGCTTGGGTCCTATCAGGGTGCGAGTCAGCCAAGCCAAGGTGCACGGTTCCCAAGACACATCAAAGAATGCAAACCCAGTAAAACTTATGTGTGCTCTGATTCTCACCCTCGATTTTGCTCTCTGTCTCTCTTGTGTGTGTGTCTCTCTCTTTCTACACTCTGGAATCAGGCCACTGGCATGCCCAGTGGAGGGTCACAGTGCAGTAAAATTATTAAAACAGCACGCGTTCAGGGACCCCCACCCAAAAACCTTTTAAGCCTGGGCTCCCACACCCACTTCCATTGGCTGAACGTGAACAGATGAGCCACCAATCAAAGTACACTGCCAGATTACCCACAAGGGTGAAAAGTTGATGGGATTATAGAACCTTGCTGATTTAACATTTGGGCACACACTTGCATTCAAGTTCATTATATATTGCTCTGTGGACTGTTCGAGGAATACTATATTAAAATGAAAGGTCAAGTGTCTGTGTCTGCTTCCTTTGGACGTATATGCTTGTCCCATAGTATGCATGTTTTGTCTTATTTGCTAGTTCTATCTCAGTTGCCCAGAATTAATTGTGAGGTGCCACGGTGGCAAGATGTTAACTACCTCGCCGGGTATGAAGGAGGTCGTGGGTTTGATGCCGACCCTGACGCCTGTTGTATATGTGGAGTTTGCATGCTCTCTCTCTCTCCCCGTGGTCGTTTGGTTTTTACTCCGGCTCCACCGGGTTTGCGCTCCGTATTTAGAATCAGCATGCGTTTAGAGTATTTGGCTGCTAAACATTTCCACACGATAAGCCACTTCGTTGAGCTGTCATCTGTGATGGCCAGGTCACTTCTGAAAAATAGCTATATATAGCTCAGTGAGCCTTACCTGGTAGAATAAAAAAAATAGTTTAATAGTGTTTTTGTACAAGTGAAATAGGAGGGAAATGACATTCATTGTTATTTTACACTTTTTAAAAAATAATTATGATCACCAGAATAGCAGCTCTATCCGTTAAATCAATGATCTGAAAATATATGTTATATGTAATGCATTTAGACTATTACACTCCCACTTTGAGTGTCAAATTTGTTCCAGAAAGGCACCGCGTGGGTAAGCAAAAAAAAGTTGACTTCACTTGAAAGGAATTGGCAAACTCTTTAAAAAAAAATCATGTTTTAGTGCTTTCCAACGGAGGTTAAATGCGTCTATTTAACCTTCGAAAACGAGCTAGAGCTCAGTGGCCCTTACCTGGTAATATGAAACAAATATTTAGTAACACTTAGTACAATTACTGCGCTTGATGTTCTCCAAATTCCCATTGGAAACATACATTTAATTGGAATACAACTGGGATATATGTATGCATTCACGTTTCAAACTTAATTTCAACCTGTAAAAAACCCGAGCATTTAATTGTTTAGAAATCTTTTGAATAACAAAACTAACTTATCGCCATTAGACATGCAGTATGTTTATATTTCAAAGAGAAATGCAACACAACCACTTCATGTGAAAGTTTAGCAATCAATTATCTGGCTTTAAGAGATCGATTTCATCAATTGCCACCCTCTAATGTTTCCTGACAAGTATCTGAAGCGAGTTTACGTGTTTCTTTGACCTACGGGCGCTCCAGTTAAAGGCTGACGTGGGAACGAGGTCTGTAAGAGATATGCATAAGGCGATTACAGGTGTGGGTTCCAAGAACGAGCATTGTTTCAGGTAAAGCTGGACACAGCTGTGTGGCTCAGAGTGAAAAGTTGGGTCAGAGGAAAAGCTGAGCTCATCCCCAGGATGAATGCAAAACGCACAAGCTCGTGTCACGATCCGGGCGGATTAGTGTCCGAGTGACCAACGCTCTTTCACCGCCGACTCCTTGTGGAATGCAAAACTATATTGGCGGCAGAACATTTAAAATGCATGAATTGCTATAGCCCACCGTTGGACATCTCGCAGCCGTTTTATAAAGGACTGGAACATCCAACCATTGGTCATACGGCAAAATTGGCACGTGACTATTGAGGGGGGCTTTGGGGATGGTGGGGGGAAGGTAAATACATAACTTTAAACGGTATTATTTAATTGTGCAATTGTTAGTAAATACTATTTCTTTTAGCTGTATCAATTGCAATTTGTGCCGTATTTTTTCAATGCCATTTGAAAACATCACACCTGAAACGGTTTTTTGTCTGTGCCCAGTGCCCATCATTGTCTCGAGAAATTTGCTTTTTTAAAGTGTCCACTTCTTGTCAGTGGGCCATCGATCAGTGGAGATCAGAATCAGAATCTTTATTCATCCTGGAGAAATCCGATGAGCTACGAAGCTCTTTTACGCAGATGTCCAGTAGGGGGCGAGTCAGAAAGTTACAGCAACAAACAATACACTAAAACGATAGGAGTGCAAAGTATTGGATGTACAAGCAAATCACGATAAGTAAATACATATTCTCAAAAAATGTATTGCTGTGGTTTTCACACCTGATGGTGATTGCTTGTGTTGCAGTCGAAACGTCGTGAGAATTGTAATGTTTTATGTTTGTTTCCCTTCTACGTGACTTTACCGAAAGAACCAAGAATATGAATCCATGCAGTCACGAAAGCTTTAAATCAAAATTTATTTTTATTTTATCAGTTAAAGCCCACTGATCAGTGGAGATGATCTCAACAGCAAGAAACGTTCGCTAAAACAGAGGCAGAACAGGTGATTCATAATATAATACAATTATTTTCAATTACAACACTTACTCGCAGAGATGGTGGCCGCAGGGAGTCGTGAGATCGCACTGCACTCTTGAGATAACACCTGGGTTCGATTGCAGGCCACAATGATATCTGATACCGGTCCTGGGCATCCCTTTCACCAACCTAGACTAATATTAGTGAAGTATGGTCAAACAACCTCCACAACCTATATGGCAATGGGGGGGGGGGCCTCATTGAATATTGGTAAAATTGTATCGTTACTCTTTTTATTGATGGAGATGAGGAAAGATTCTCAACAATACAAATTGGATTATACCCTTGAGATCGGTAAAGTTTGAGTGACGCAAAAATTGTAATAACTTTAATACGCCAAAATTGTATTTATTGGGAGAAATGTACGTTTCTGCGACTAATGTTTGCCTACTTATAACAGTGCATTGGTTTGAGTACGTGACATATATAAAGGTGCGGCCCTACAACTTCCTCCTCGTGCTATTACTGGTGGAAAGGTCTCAACTCGAGGCAGCTCAATTAGAGCCCCTCTAGAGCAATGTTTGGCTTCCTCTATCACGCTCGTCAGAGACAACTTCATCAGTAAGTCGGTGCGTGACACCGTTTGGCGCTAGCTATCATAGATTGAGGACGTGCTGCTTCAGTTATAATAATAATTAACATTTATTCGTAAGGCGCCTTCCACGAATGTCTCAAGGCGGTGTGAGTACAAGGCCTGTAAAAACAACGGCGCTATGCCTCTCGAAATCAATTCAACGCTCACCGCTTGCGCGTCCCGAGATTCAGCGATGAACGGAACCCACCCTGCAACTTGAAGACGTCACGGAACGGGAAAGGGTTAACAGCGGATGTTACATTATTCAAAATGAGTAAGCCATTGTGTGCCGGCACCATGCTCCAAATGTTGCCAAATTCGAACATGACCTGGAAATGTTTCAAATGAGATTACACATAGCAACTATCGCACCCTACTGGCAGACTAATGCTCATTTGCAGGCCAGGTGCTGAGTCACCGTGTGCCCTCACCGACAGCTGCCACCGGGGAGGGCTTTTTTTAATGTTTGAGATGATTGCGTGTAAGGTGCTCTCAGATGCCCCAGTGTACAGGGAACTATTTCATAAATAAACAGCCATCATGATTATTATCATTCTTGTTTCAACTTCCGCGCCGGGAGATTGAGTTGAGCCGGCGACCTCTGTATTGCGAGTCCAATGAGCTACCCCATCGCACCACGGCGACACCCTAGTTTAAAGATACGTCCCACACCATATCCATTAATGGAAGTGCAGCACTCTGTGTTCTTAGCAGCCTTTTCAAGTCGTTTCATCTGACCTTTCAGCAGCAAAAATGGTATACATTATATTCTCAAAGTATGATGAATGACAGTGATGACCGACTAGTATGCAATGAATAGTGACCTGGATAATGTACATACAAGGTAAATGGCACTAATAATGTCTGCAAGCAGTAATGGCCCACTTTATCTCATCGATAATAATTGGAGTCATTTTATCGGAGCATTGCCAGGCAATTGCGGTAAGTACTTGCTTACAGTACCCAGTTATTAACATTTACAGCATTTGAAAAGCATAATTCCGGCCTAAAAAAGCAGGAAAGAACTTAAAATACGACTGCGTAGGTTTTCACGGATGTGCTGTACAGCTCCCTCGTGTGTTTTCGTGTTGTACCAGTTGTTGTTTAGGGATGTTGTCCAATGTTTCACTTCATGTGCTGCGAGCCTACTTCTTCCTGAAGATACCCCCAGTCAGAGGAACGAAAAAACATCATTGCGGGACAATGCACGGTACGGCCATCGAAACACCATCGGTGACGAGCTTAAAATGGTGAGCCCGACTTGATATACAAACGTTTCTCCGTGGTCTTAACATCATTTGCAACAACAACAAAATTTGACTCAGGACGTATTCAGCCTGGCACCACAGGCAGGAATCTCGCGAGCATACCTGCCCGCCCACCTCATCCAAAACGCAGGGTATGCATCATCCTTGTCAGCAGCAGGAAGAGCTTAACTGCCCCGTTGTTTTTACTCGGGAGCTAATTGAGGGACCCTTGTTTCACTCCACCATCCTTCCTACAGCAAACACTGATAACACCGCAACGGCGGTGGAACAGAGGGCAGACGCGGACGCGGAGATTCTCTGAAATCTGGCTGGAAGGGGCTGCCCCCCGCTCTGATTGCAGGGAAATCTTTACTTACAGGGGGAGGTGGCTGTTGAAAGAGGACTCTGCCGCATAGACTTTCATCTCTGGAAGGTTGAAAGATGAGTTATGTCAGGCATGGGTGGTCGTCAGCTATGCTTTAAATTCACCTGCTGAGTCTGCATGTGTAATATATAATGTGCACTTAGCGACTTGCCACTCCAAAATCATAATTTGTGCAGTCGGTATATATAGACTGCACCTGGCGTGTAGTTTGTGTACCTATAATGCAAATACAAAGTTGTGTATTTTTGTTACTGACAATGAATAAACCCAAGATCGACAAATCATTATTCCTCCTTTTTCAGCCAGTGTATGGAAAAATATAAAATAACATTGTATGAACGTATGCTTA